CGAAAAAACTTTAATGTGTGTTTCACACTTTATAGCCCATCGCCAGAATGGCCAGAATATTCGTCAGCCGAAAAGATACGCTTTATTCTCAGTAGGAATAACGGATGCGTGTTAGGATATATAACAGACAATCTCATATGTATGTCAATGTACACCCAAGTTTAGTTAGTTATCAATCATACCTAAGTAAAAACATGCACTAGTGAATGATGACTAATTTCTGTCCTGATCAAATTTATACATCAATATTGTTTTTTCATTAATAAAAGAAGCCACAGAAACAAGCAATCTTGAGGTTGTTGATACGGGATTAAATTCAAGCTAAGTTTAATCAGTACATAGAGATCGATACAGAAACACGTACCGCTAACTGTAACTCTCAAGAGGCCACGTTATTTCAACGAGGCACGTACAGCCGGCTGCTAATGATCTTAGGACCAGTCACGATCTATGATAAGGAAAAACAAATGCACGAGAAGTGTATTGTCGTGTGATACCTGTCATAGTCGATGCATCCATATTCCTACCCGATATATATAGCATATCTAATCGTAATGCTAACGGAAAAGCAGAGCCTGTTTTTTTTAATGTGCCTTAATATAGGAAGCAAATATAGAATTAGCAGCAAGTGAAGTATCTTAAGCAATGATGGCGCGATTGTAACAATTCAACTAATTTCATACATAAGCTTAAAAAAGCTTTGAAGCTGGAATCCATTCCAGTGCCATCTATCTCAACCAGGTCAGCGGCGAAACGACCTTGCCAGATCGCTGATCGCCTTTCAAGGAACAATATCGTTCCAACTCTTTAAGGCCAAGAAACGCATGTCAACGGACGGCCTCATTAAATTCCCAAATATATTACTAGGACATTTAAGTTTCCTCGTTAAGAGGACTCAGTATGGCATTTTGCTTTTCTAGCTCAGTTATCTGAGCTGAACTGATTTACATTAATAAATGGCAGTTGGCAACAAAATGGCAATTATGGCCGTGTTTAAGCCGACGACAGCCATTTTCCAACTTGTGCTGCGTTCTTCATGCATGCAATGAGGAAAAACTAATAAGGTCATATTAGAGAGAAAGCAATGATGGCTTTGAGAGTGACCATTGTTGATGGGTGGCTGGGGGGCCTGATTAGAAATGTAAAGCAGATAATCTTGTAGCGTGTTACGATTTCAGGTTTGAACCAAGCTAGTTTTATGGAATTGTTGTGCACGTACGAATCAAGCGAAAGCGAAAGGACCGCTGAAAAATACACACAGGATGATAGAAATAATAATATGTGAGACAAACTATGGCGAGCGATTTGTCCTAGGGAGCACACGGCCGTCTTCTTATTCCCTAGGAGAAAGTCCGTTTCGTGTGGAACAAGAAAAAGCTTACATTCATTTGTTCGCCTTATAACTCCTTAGCTCGTACGGGATTTCTGCGCAATATTATTCCGAAGCGACGGTGCGTTTATTAGCAAACATTAATTATTGCCCAGTGCCCTAACGTTGATCAAAGGTACCGGGCACTTATGTCGTGAAATTTTCTGGTTACCTGAAAAAACCGACGCTTCATATAGCGTTGTGACCGAGTGCGCGACTGCCGAGGAGGCAAAACTCGGTTTTTGCAAAGCAGAGCAGGAGGCACGTAACAGCGAAGCCTTTGTAAGAATTTGACAACTAAGTAGATTCGAGCATTTGTGACATTCGTTATTTTTCGATGCTACTTCAGCAGTAAAATATGACCTATATACAGTTAGCACCGGCCCAAGGTTTGCGTATTTCTGGTAAACTCTGTGTAGACAAATGAACCCTGGCCGCTATCATGCACCTCTGAATTCACTCAACAATCTAAAAGATAGCTGTTAAAAATGCAGCCAAAAGCCTGCTGCAATCGTCCTCGACACTCCGACGACGACGACAAAATTACCGTGGATTTGCCGAAGGTCCAGAGGAGGTTTCAATTGTGAGTAAAATTAAGGTTCTTAGTCAGTTTCCTCGTGCAGAATTGTGTATAGAAGAACGGAATGATGTCAAACAGATGTATTTCTCCAAAGTTGCGTTATAAAAGCGCATCTATTCGAATACTTTATTATTGAACGCTAGACCACGTGCTATTTGGTATAGGTCCGCTGAAATTGTTCAGTATATATCGCTACTAATCCACACGGTGTATTATCGATATAGTTTGTTTCAGACATACAAATGTTTAAAATGCAGCTTTGAAGGGATAAAACCGCTGAGAATGGCAGTCCCGGAATTTGCATTTGTAATTAATAGTGAAAAATAGACCATTACTTACAAATGGTTTCTTACAAAAACCTCGAATAGGCTGTTTTTCCTTGAAGTAAGAGCCAATTCTTTTTCTCTGTCGCGGGTACATGCTTCTGTTTTTTAGTAACGTCAACCTGATCTTTACCAGGTCTCTTCCCAAATATAAGAAGTGCTTCCCGGCTTTGATTTGGGGCGTCCTCTTTCCGGATGTTCAAAGGTACCTATACACAAACCTAAAAATGTTAAATAATGGGACCATAAGGCAACACTTAGTTCTTTCAACGAACGTATGCTCCGTCCCATACGAAGTTGATAAAAGTAATTTAGTACATGTTAGAACAAGGCTAATTTATTTCACCATCAACCTTCACCCTAGTTTTGCAGTGTCACGGTGCCGGCAATCCAGTAGCTCACACTCAAGTAAATACTCGCAGGTCCAACTTTACTACCGGCTACACAACGCACTCCACGACTTTTTTTTCAGCTTATTGATTTAATGTAGGTTTCAACAATACAGGTTGATAGCTGAAGCAATGGAATTGACTCTATCAGAAGCCCATGGACTGGGAGAATTTCATTGACCGTTGACGGTCTTTGGGGCGCCTTAACTGACTAGTAACTTCCTATTTGTTGTTTCGGCATGCACAGTTCGCAAGGATCCGTGTTATTCTTTCACTTTGTCTCAGATCTCACGAACTTATTTTCTGTGAGAGGTGAAACATCACGGTAATGAGGCCTTGCGACGAACGACAATATTTCTAGCGTGATGGAGCCGAATCTCACTCAATCTACGATTAAAGAACAAGACGATATTCCCGCTCATCAAGCGTAATTACTCGGTGAGTAACAATTAGCGATTCAAAAAATGTGAGGACATAATTGGTCTCACCTAAAGATAGAATTATTATACTTGTGGGCTCACGAGCCCCCGCTTGCCCTGCTTCGGTTGCTTGGAGCTCTGTTTTTCCGAACGAGTTTGGATCGTTCCCATCTAGTACGAAATAATTGACTTTACCTAAACGCTTCGTGCATTTTGCAACCTATTTCCACCAGCTTTTCGCAAAGGGCTAAGCTATAACCTGGCCAACAATAAAAGGACTGGCCTATTTTAGCAGACCGGACAACTACGCAGTATCTACTTGCAGCACATTTCGAGTTCACAAAATGTTGAGCTCATCATTTTGTTCTGCAGAGCTCATTTGACTTTTCTTCTGACTACAAGCAACCCAAATGCACATACCCGGAAATCTGGACACCGTTTTTTTGTCGTTTCTCTTAGCGCCAGGCTTGTTTTACGCACAGTTGGTAGAGATTAACGAGGCGTGCAGTTGTACTGATAACCGATTCTTTATTGCCGCTCGCAAATTCTCTGACGGCACCGCCGTTCACTCAAAACTTCAAGCGTCAGTAATGTGTGTAAAATATACATGTGCTCGAATAGAGCTGCCAGGCCTTATTGGCCTGGTTCGAGCTCGACGGAAAGACCATGCTGGCTGATTACTCTGATAAATGGGTTGCGGCATAAATAGGCGAAATACGTCTGCGATATTACTTAATGTCTAATCGTGAACGTTACTCATTTGCCATGCATAGCATAGCATAGCATAGATTTTCTTCATCAGTTACAGCAAATTGCTCTCAGATCCACTTGCCCTGATAAGTAGATCTTTCCCTGACGAAGAAGTAGTTTTTTTGTACTGTCATTACATATATATTCAGAGGGTAAATGGCCTTTACCCTTTTAGCTGTACCCGAACCTCCGAAATGCTTGCCTCCGAATCTGGTAGATGTGGGTTCCGTTTTCACAGGTGATATTTTGAGGAGGTTTTCTTACTGAGTAATGAAAGCTAAGGAAATAAAAAAATTTCAGAGAAGTTGTAGCGGCTATGGTGGCCAATTTTCTAGCGGGTGATCTTTGGCCAGGACTCGTTCTCTTCACTGAATGATCTATGAAAAGGCCTAGGTGAAGGAGGTACAAGCGAAAACTTTCGCTCAGCTGAATATACATTTCTGCAGCTAATATTAGCTTAGCATGCTTAAAAGGGACAAAAACTATAAAAGGCCAAGTCCTCTCCAATTAGACTGACGGCACTTAGGGGCACACTGTAATCATACAACCAATAACAGTCAAAAGCCTCAATGTACCCTCCAGTTCAACACTGTAATTTCTCCCATTAATTAGAGAACAGCTGACTCTTCCTGTGACATCCCTCGCACTTACATACGCCATTGAACGTATTAAATAAGTATGTGATTCCTGCTTGTTCGTCCAAAGTTGTTATTATACGAGAATCATCATCGTTATTATTGGATAAATGTTGAAAATTCTTTCATGTTATTGATAGGTCAATATTTTTCTAGGACAAACAATCCACATATAACGGAATAGTATTCCAAGCTTGTAGGAGCTAAACCAACGATTGACAGTTAATAGCGACCTTTTTTCGCCGCCAGCCCGATGACAAACATCCAACTCTACATAATTAAACTACAGATACAGGCAATATATGTAGACAATAAAAACATGCAAAAGATGAATTAGCCAGGCCAGCGCCAGCTTTGCCTATTTATTCGCACCGCACAATAGCTTAATACAGTTGTTCAATATGACTGTAAATGATGTTTTGCTAGCTTTCTTCTCTTTGGGAAGTGATATTATAAAGCTGAGCAGGGCTGCCGTTAATTCGTAGCCCACAGCGGCTCTATGCGTTGGTAAACATTGTAAGTCTGTCGTCTGAATTGTCCATTATATTCATAACTTATCCTCATGGCTCTGCCTATTAAACGACAACGAGGTGTCCGACAACGTCAACAAGTTTGCAACAATTAGAACACTTGAAGTGATGTAAACTCAGTTGTCGCTCGATCAACTAGAGGCGAATTTATCAGTGACTTTTTCGCTCAACTTATGATGGATTTTAGTTAGAAATAAGTTTTTCAACGATACAAGCCATCGAGGACATACGACACATGCAGTCGTTCATGAACGTATTTTATACGTGAACATGCATGCGTGAGGCTGCCAATTCGACACCGCCGATACTGTATATGGCGATTGTTTTCATGTTCATACATTTGCATTTACAATTTAAGGATGAGTACGAAAAAGACTGAAGAAGTACCAATTAGGCTACGCTTGCGAAGCGCGACAGCAACGAATAGAACCGTAACTACTACTCCTACGTTCATAAAACCTAAGTCTACGCCTGTGAAGCACAAGTCTGCGCCTGTCAAGCGTCCCCGGAAAACAGTTTCATTGATCAAGGAAGGCTCCGTGCAGGTGCTGTTTGTTTGTTTGTTTGTTTTTTTTGAGATTTATGTTCCTCCTTTATACGTCAGCATGTCGACCTATTACGAACACTGACTAGCCTTCTAGTCGTCTTTTCACAAGTGTCCACTTCCCGCTAAACAGATCATTACCTCCCGGGCATTTACATGAACACATAACGCACGACTAATCATGACCGCCACGCTGTTGTTTGACTCGAAAAAGGAGCATCATAAACAATGCTAATGGTATGTTTGTATTATACACCGGTTACGGCACTGGGCTTGAGTTAACAAACCCAAGGCTGAGTCGTCTAGTTGCTACTTACGGCCAGTGGCGTGTGAACATACTATGTCCTCTTGATTATATCGAATCGTTACCAGCCAATATTGCCGAAACAGCTGTTATATCAAATGTAAATATAGTCTTTTCTAGCGTACTATTCTATACGCTAAAGTAAATGCAACGTTCAAGTGAAGAGTGTTCATTGGGAAAGATGCTAACGACAACAATAGTACCGCAACGAATAAAAATATATATAGTACTTTATTAACCAGCATGTGAAGCCTACATCGGTCCGTATGCGCCTGTGGGGTTTTAGCCAAGAACCCTATGGACTCGATCTCTTAACGACATCTCATTGGATTTGTCGTGCTATCCGATGGTAGAACACATGTTCAATGCAACATGTGCAGCAACAGATAGTGGTACGAAGCGGTGTGAAAAAAACAAAACATGTTTACCCGCCTAAAGTAGACTAAAAACGCTGTGTTCACAGCAACGGCTTCAGAATTACTATTACTACTACTGTCTGTTATTTATATAGTTTATATTTCTTCTAGAATTTTCTAGAATTTCTTCTAGGGGCTGCAGTCCCGCTAACGGCTATAAATCACAGTGTAAATAATAGCAAAGCGGGTTTTTTTTTTTTGTTTTTTTTTTTCTAACAAATAAAACATTGGTCTACGGTAAGCTCAACGCTATTTTAGGTTATGCGGTCCTTTATTTAAGCTACTTTTTGGTTCATTTCCGATTTACTTTTTCAGGACGCTACGACACAGACAGAATGTATCTCAAGCGCAATCCGTTGTCCAATCTGTCTTCTGGATCTAGATGAGCTTCTATCTGAAAAGGTCTTTATTAGGCTTATATAAGTCATATCTATCACCTATAGAGTAGGATCTCTATTCACAACTATGCGACAGTTGAATTCCGAATGCTGCAGTCAAACTCTACCATACCAATCTATGATCTAATTACGTTATTAATTTACTGATCAATGACACACACATGTGTATATATATAGACGAATGCAGGCCGCTCACTTTCTCTTCATCGTCTGATTCTAACTGGAGTTAGGATTCGTATGTGTTTGTGAAATAACTCGCTACTATCGGCAAACTACTGATTATGAGATCAGAGCTAAATGATTACAATCAAATTTTATGGGTTTACTCGGTCTGAGAGACGTTTGAAAGTCGAACGGTAACAATAAGGCGATATTGCGCGCTCAGTCAAGTAAATTATAATATGGATTATCTAGCCAGACAGGTAGACGGCTGAATTCGTATCTGAAGTAATTGAAATTACCGGAACTGCTGTTTTCGATAATACATGGTCTACATGGTCTCGATAATACAAACCGGTATGAAGTTTATACAGATAGAGCACCAACGAAGGTTCCAATCGACGTTACAGATGAGGTAGAGCCTTTATTGTCAGTACCTTTTGCCCTGTTTCCGTATATCTGAAAGCAGATTTCGAGCCGTTTTAAGTACTTCCGTACTGCTTCAGCGAGAACAACAGCAGACCACCTACCTAAAAGACATCCTTCTACGAAACTAGGTCATACAGGACAATAGGGCCACAAAGAAAAAGCATCGTGAAATACACCCGCGATAGGGCTGCGGTAGATTTTTCAAGTTGACACTCGACCACTTATGTTGAAGGACAAAATCGATTAGTATGTCTATTGCATCAGGCATCTCGTCGCTCGTTAAGGAAGTCCGCACAGGTTCTGATTTCTTTGAAACAATTGTACCTAGAATTTTTCGATAGACAATGGACAGAGAGAAGTAAGGTGGGTCCCTCGTTATTTATGGTACGAGCAATAACATGTCATGGCTGGAAGTACATTACAGGAATGATCGCCATAGGATCAGTGTAGCGCAGTTCGTGGATCTGATAATCTGCTGCGCAATGCAAAAAAAAAAATACCAAAAAAACGAGTTACAGGTTTCTAAAAATTCTGCTCATAACAAAATTCAAATCGCTGAAACGATGGATTATAACAGCAGCGGCTTAGAGGTATAGCATAACGATATTTTCTACTTCGACGATGAATCGGACGTGGCCGACATGTAATGCGACAGATTTCTTGCTGCTAAATCGGGGCACTAGTTTATGATTGAGATATATGAAGTGTATTCATGTTGCACGAAGTTTTCTGTAATCGCGTTCCTTCTGTTTCCAGGTGAACCTTGTCAACGTTAATGTCTGCAAGCACTTCCTGTGCGGCCCCTGCTTGACCGCGTGGTTAGCAAAACAGAAGACATGCCCACTATGTCGCAAAGCTCTTCCGGAAAAAGAGCCATTCTCACAATTACGCCTAACTTGATATTTTCCCAGTTTTCGAACGTTATGCTCTGTTATTTTTTTTTTGCCTTTAGCTGTAGTTGTATGTGTGAAACCATAATGTATAACCGTCCATGTTCGCAACCTGGCAGGTAGATATTTGCGCTAAGGATCAAAGAACACCCCCAACGTTCCTAAGTGACCAAAAACAATGTAACTAATTGGTCTGCGATTTTTTTTTTTTTGTTTAATTAAAATTAGGGCTTAATACTATACCGTGTATTCATTGTGCTTGCTTGTTAGTTTTTTTTTACATCACCCTATCGTTTTCCGTCAGTGAGTCTGATGGTGATAATATGAATCCGGCAAAACGGTCGAGTCCTTGTTGATGTATATGTTAACTACCAATTTAATATGATCAGTCGTTCTACGCATATGGTCAATACTTCAATTTTGTCAAACCTAGAGGAACAGCGCACACCTCCCAGAGTCATTGGATTATACAGAGATATTTTTTTATTTATGCATTGTGAAACTCCCTGCACGTTAATTCAATAGCAATTGTAAGAAAACCTAAATTTCGAAACAAGCGTTTGTTCACTGGATTGTCCAACAACGACCCAAGGAACAGCTATCTCATGTGAGTGGGGCTCCCATTTCGACCCTATAAGTTTCTCGATCGCCGCTGATGCTGTGCTGATGTGATCAAAAAATCGCATTTTCCAATACGTTGATAAACTGTGCCTTTCGTCGGAAACGGACGTTATTATTAAGAGGAACTATCGTGAGGTAGGAGACGGTGCTGAACGGACAACTGCGGATATGTTTGCATGAAAGAGTTATTCGAAGAGGTCTCTGCAAAGTACGTGTGACAGCGAGAGAAAACCAAACGAAAGCTCTGGCAAGCTGAAGGCCACATAGGTGATGCTTCTGGGTAACCCGCTGTGTTTCACCGTTTCCTACGGCGACGTAATGAGGAAGAAGCTACTGATGAACGTGTGACGTCCAACTGAACCTCTGAAATTGTATTGTGTCGTTTATGGCTATGTTATTATTAGCATGTGCGTGTATATGTATGTATGTGTGTGTGTGTGTGTGTGTGTGTGTTGTGAAAGACGTTCCAACGCCAATCAGAATTTAGCTGACTGCTCGTTGCATCGTTGAGTTAGAGATCGTTTCGACCTTGATGCAGGCCTCAAGACGATGGACAGCTGGCTTGCTTATGAAATTGATAGAGTCCATGAACGGACGAAATCGGGTTCTGAGCATGGGGAAGGTTCTGACATCACAAACGGAAGCAAATCAGAGGCTAGAAACGCTTTCGATAAGTGAAAGTATCTTGCGACCTATAGGAGAATATCATTTGCCTATAGGACAACGACTGACATTACCAGTTTGGCCAAATGGATCAAAAGTGCTTTAATAGTGAAAAGAAAAATAGGACACAAGCCGCGGGCAGTGAGTATAGAGTGCACATGCTTTTATCAGCACATGCACGTTAATAATGTAGCTACTATTTGATTGATAACGAGTTAAGAGGCGTGCGTCCCTGTTACACAAACGAGGCAGATGAAATTACGCCAAAAAGAAATATGCAAGAGGTACTTCATGCTTCAGGCTACTGCCGCCTACCAGCTAAAAACGTTATGTACTTAGCGTGAAGATGTGAGCATTATCTATAACATTTTCGAAACGGCATGCATATGCATGACTGAACGTCGAAATGTATGTTTATAGAATGTATGGACATCTGTTCAAAATGTCAGCGTCTCTATGACGCTTCGTAACTCGCCCCGCCATAACGCATACAAGAATACAGATAAACGAATTGCTTTTTAAAAGCCTAAAAACCTGTCAGAGTATCCAAAAAGTCATGTCAGCTTCAATCGTTGACCGACCTTCGGTTTGGTTCAGATACTTACGCAGGCCTATCGAGCAGCACCAGAGTCCTTTTTAAGCGCTTGTGTGATCGCTAGCCGGACAAAACCAGCTATGAAATCTCGTTGTACCGTGTTTTGTTTGTTCAAAACCTACTTGTCGATTACATATCGGTTTAGATGTATTTTTAACGGGAGCGCTTCTTTCAAATTTGCACCTTGTGCGTAGAAGTATACCATCCAAGCTGTTACTGCCAGTTCATCTTTCAGACAAAATAAGCAACCTAGCACTTTTTCTGCCTGGTTCATGGTATCGGCTCTCATTAACCATACCTTAACCTAGTAACATGAACGTATAGTAAAGCGTCTACTTCTTCAACAAACTCTGGCGGCAGAGTACGCGCTTGCCAACAGGGCAAATCACTCTATACAGGAGTTCCTCACCGACCATTCTGCAAGCTGCATCTTTAAGCGGTAAATGCTAGTTGGTTTTAGACGATTCATCTCTTTGATAAAGATGGACATCCTAGCGACCGTCTTACGACCGTCCAATCCCGTCTATTTGCGGAAGTCGTCGAGTTGAAGATAAAAACTTTTTGCTGTCTATGTACCCTCTTTTAGATTTCATCCGTTTCTGCATTTTTCAAACACTTCAATAGACGAGCACGCAGATATATACACTGAGGTTGAGGAGCCCGGTTATATTAAACCCCGCGTGAAAAGGCTGTGCTCAGTATTGCATCTGATTCGACCTGAATAGAAATAGATATCCATAAGTAAAGAAATAGAACTAACTATCCATAAGTATTATAAGCGTTGTGCTTTCAGCCGCCTTTGATTTGGAAGCTTTTGAAATAATCGATATTGGGCCGTCAGGGTATCATCGATGGTATTACAATAGAGCACGCTTTTCGACCTGTTACTGCACCGCTCGGAACGAAATGTCTGGAATGAAACGAAAAAAAAGTTTTCGTGTTGCATGTTAGTGGTATCACACATGAAAGTCATTGAAAATCGTTCGATGACATTCTGTTTTCTGTAAATTCTTAGAAAAATAAAACTTGCTCTGTTTTATTAGCGAATAACACACTAGATAGTCGTTGTTGGTTCAACAGTAAAATATTTATTTGTATTATTTCGAGAAGAACAAAGCTCTTGGAAATGTTACGGCTGTTAGGTATTGCATTAACAGGGTTTTGTAAACGAAACCGTAAAATTAACCGTCAATCGTGGAGGCTATTCTATATCTATGTGGAAATTTCGATCGCCCGCGTCTTCACTTATTTCCTACTCTAGCTAGTTTACATCTCTGCAGCAAGGTCGTTATGTGAAACCTATTTTTTCGTTGTCGAGAGCTTGCGGCAGAAGGTAGCGAAGGGCAGCACTACAAACTGTAGAAGCTGTTCCTTTTGCTTTTTGATTGTCTAGAGGGTGGCCGTGACGCGGTCACTTCTAGTCCACAGTTTGCCCCACTGTTAACTATCTGTATGAACGTTGTCTTGTGGGACTGATTCGTTTTAGTGGATCAGATCATAAAGTTAGATAGTCTATTGCACGTCTGAATGAAATGTGTACGAGTCGCATCGTAGTGGCAAAGTTTGGTGTTAGACTCGTCTCGTGAGCCAGACAAACCCGGAAGTGAGCCCGCCTCCGAAGGAAAATAGTCAGAAGCCGACTTAAATAAATCATGCCTGCAGATACAAGCTGGATGGATCTAATCGACTACATGCACGCCACACCTTATCAAGTATTCTAGTAGTATTTATTGACGCTTAAGCGCCTCATCAAACGGAAACAAAGACTTTTGATCCGATAACAGTAGGATCGACAAAAGGAAAGATAGGTTTCTCTGGGCAATGGGTTCGCGTCATCGTTCTGGGACCCATTCAGCAGCCAGCCGTCTCACTGACTACCTAACGGCGTGAAACTTCTCACACTGTTAACCACTATCAATTTGGGTATTATATTTCGTGCTTTATTGGGTGCTACCATATATGTTTGCTGCGACCGTGGTGGTAGCGGCTTTTCCCCCGCTGCGAGCTTGGTAGAAGCCATTAATCGTTCCCTTTCGATTTTGTAGCAGATAGTGCGTGCTAAGACTAACCAGCTAATGGAGATTATTAATAATCTCTATTAGGCATTGACGTCGAGAGCGGAACATCATATAGAGTTCGTCTGCAATGCTTCAGGTAGACATGATGCGTTTACACAGCCATCACGGCCCATATATGACCATGTGACCCTTTTATTTATTATATTGTAGGCCGATAGCGCGTGTAGAGAAGATTCGTCTCTTCACGTAAATACAACGGAATACAGGTGTCAGTCTATACTACATACACTTACAGGCCCTGAAGATTTCAAGTAGAACATAGAAAATTGTAGCATATACGGTACAAGGTACAAGGTAGCTTTTTTAAATGGCGTAATAGTTCGCCTTCAGCTCTCGCTTCGATATCATCACAAGGAACTTTCTCACCACTTACATTTTATAGGTATTTGGCAGCTTCATTACAAATCTCATTAAACGTTCTATAAAAGGCGCGTGATAGTTGCCCCTTTGTCTTCTAGCTGGCATGTACTAAGCATAGCCTTCTTTCGAGTACGTATTCCTACTTTGACAATTCTATAGCTAATTTCATCCACTCTTTTTCATTTCTTATGAGAACGATACAAAGCGTTTTTAACAATCTTTTTTTTTGTCCCTTACGTATTCAATGAAAATTAGTGTGGCTTAAGTACTGAACACTTCAAATCAGCTACCGGTTTGGTCATAGGTGATGAACAATCATGACAGATCGATCAACAAAAAGTAATATCTGCGGTCTGCACGGTCTGCATAATGCATTTGCACTTAACCTCCAAAAAAAAAAAAAACTATCAACGATCGCCGTCATTATGGCTGCTACCGAACCCGCCCACTTGACTGGCAGATCAAGGTACGCTGTTTCATCTGCAGGGGTCTTCCTATCCGGTAACATTTATTTTTTTGCCCACCCTGTTTCAGTTGAACGCGCTAAAGAACTATCTATACCTACGAGCACCAGAACACAGCATAATTTACGCATCCAGGCTCCATAGTAAAACAGTACTAGGTTAAGTGACCAAGCCTGTATTAGTATCGCACTTCAGGTTTAAGCTGCATACGTAAAAAGCTCTTGGTATGTGCTGAGCAGTACGGGGAAAGGTTTTGTAGAGGGCCAACTGAGGGTGGTAAGGGTGACGGGTGAAAAGGCGGACCTCGAACGGAAGGAAGTGTTGTTTCCGCGAGTGGGCGCTGGTCATTACGATGTGGGCCTCGAGTCGATCCCAAAAATAAGAACCTAAGTTGTTCTAAGTGGTTGCGTACGGCCAATGGCGTGCCTCTGGAGACAGCGTACGATGACCTCGTTCCTATTTAGCAGGCAGAATCAATGGAACAGGGGCCTGTGCCATGAACTTAACAATGACTACTACTTTTAACCCGCTGCATACAGACCCACAGACGTAGACAGACGTATAGCTCAGGCTGTCTTTAGAGAAAGTGTATATGTGCCACTGTCATACTTATCGATGTGGTAAAACTTAGAATTGAAACAACATATGGATGTAGTCTTAATTTATATCTTAGTAGCTTAATAACTGACTAATAGCAAGAGCATTTTCAGGTCTTATGCTATGTTCTTCTAAAACGTATGCCGTTCATATTTTCTGCTGGGTGACGACGTTACCATCTGGAATAATGACACCCACAAATACATCTTTGTATAACGTTATAATCTGTCGTTGTCTAAACATTGCTAACCGCAAATATTTCAACCTTCTTTTAGTAACAATTAATAATATTCTCTAGTCTCTTTTGTCATTAAGGTACCCGCATTTTATAACTTTTAGCTACAAGCTGTACGAGCTATCTACCTAATCTTGCCATTACCGGAACAATAGACCCGCGTATA